CTTTCTTTCTTTCTCCCTCTCTTTCTTTATTTTTCTTTCTCTCTCTCTCTGTTTCTTTCTCCACTTCCTTCCTTTGTTCATTCATTCTTTCTTTCTCTTTCTCTCTTTCTTCTTTCTGCCCTTCCTTCATTTGTTCTTTCTTTCTCTTTCTTTAACCACTTCCTCTTCCTTTCTTCCTTTCTTCCTTTCTTCCTTCTTTCTCTGTCTTTCTTTATTTGTCTCTCTCTCTCTTTCTTTCTTTAATTCTCCATTCCCCCACCTCCTTCCTTCCTTCCTTCTTTCTCTTTCTTTCTTTATTTCTCTCTCTCTCTTTCTTTCTTTAATTCTCCACTCCCCCTCCTCCCTCCTTCCTTCCTTCCTTCCTTCCTTCCTTCCTTCCTTTCTTTCTTTCTTTCTTTCTTTCTCCCCTTCTCTTTCTTTCTTTATTTCTCTCTCTCTCTCTCTTTCTTTCTTTAATTCTCCACTCCCCCTCCTCCTTCCTTCCTTCCTTTCTTTCTTTCTCCCCTTCTCTTTCCTTCCCCTTTCCCCTTTTTCCCTCTTCCTCGTTTCCCAAATAACAACAGCCTTGCGAGGTTGGTCCATTGGGGGGGGGACCTGGCCCAAAGTGACTATGCCAGAAGTTCTGGTGGCTGAGGGGAGGGGAACAGAGCCCACGTCAAGTCCAACCCTCCCGCCCCAAGCCTCCTGGCATTTCCGAAAGCAGAGTCTTTCAACCTTGGCAGCTTTAACAGGGACGGACTTCAACTCCCAGAATTCCCTAGTTAAACTCTGAATTCTGGGAGTTGAAGTTGCCGAGGTTGAAAGGCTCTGCCCCAGAGGGGTCTGTTTAGGACCCAAATGCCACTTGACTCCTCTTGGTTTTTTTTCCCCCTCTGCAGCTTCTGGATATGAAAATATTTGTGGACACCGATTCGGACATCCGTCTGGTTCGGCGTTTGCGCCGGGACATCAGCGAGCGAGGCCGAGAGATTGACGGGGTCATCAAGCAGTACAACAAGTTCGTCAAGCCGGCCTTTGACCAGTATATCCAGCCCACCATGCGAGTGGCCGATATTGTGGTCCCACGAGGTAGGCGTCCGGCTGGATTCCTGACCTGGGGGGGAAATCACGTGATCACATGGCCCCGGGAACTGTGACCGTCATTAATGCAAGTCAGTTGCCAGGAATCTGAATTTTCGGGATGCTGCAACAGTCGTAAGTGTGGAAAACGGCCATATGCCCCCTTTTTTTTTTCAGCGCTGTTGTAACTTCGAACAATCACTAAACAAAGCGTTGTATGTGGAGAAGTAGTTGTGGATTTGTTAAACAGGAAGTTGGTTTGAGAAAATTGCAGCTCTTAATTTTGACTTGGCTGAATCTTACGTGGGGATCTGTAGGCTGCTTGCGCCCTCTAGGGGATTTCTCAGGTCATTGCAGGAAGTAAAGGGATATCCACGTCTCTGAGCTCAGTTGTTTTCTTGCAGACGTTTCACTACCCAACTAGGTAGCGTCATCAGGGCTGGTAGGGAGTGGAGTTTGGTCTCAACCAAGAGCACCAAGGACACCTCATTTCAGCCCTGAGCTACAAATATTCTCCTTTATCTGTGATGTTTTGTCTCACTCCTTTCCTTCCTCTCCCTTCCTTCTCCCCTCCCTCTCTTCCTTTTCTCTTTCCTTCCTCTCCCTTCTCCCATTCCCTCTCTTTCTCCCTTTCATCTCTCCTTCCTTCCTCCTTTCTCTCCTTCCCTCCCTCCCTCTCTTCCTTCTCTCCTTCCTTCCTCTCCCTTCTCTCCTTCCCCCTTTCTCCCTTCCATCTCTCCTTCCTTCCTCCTTTCTCTCCTTCCCTCCCTCCCTCTCTTCCTTCTCTCTTTCCTTCCTCTCCCTTCTCTCCTTCCTCCCTTTCTCCCTTTCATCTCTCCTTCCTTCCTCCTTTCTCTCCCCTCCCTCCCTCTCTTCCTTCTCTCTTTCCTTCCTCTCCCTTCTCTCCTTCTCCCCTTTCTCCCTTCCATCTCCCTTCCTCCCTTCTCCCCTTCCCTCCCTCTCTTCCTTCTCTCTTTCCTTCCTCTCCCTTCTCCCCTTTCCTCTCTTTCTTCCTTTCATCTCTCCTTCCTTCCTTCCTCTCTTCTCCCCTCCCTCCCCACCTCTCTTCCTTCTCCCCTTCCTTCCATCTCTCTTTCCTTTCCTTTTCCTTCTTTCCTTCCCCCATCTAACAATATATCTCGCAATGTTGAAAAACCAAATTCAAGACATACCAAATTAAAGTAGCCCAGATGTAACCCAAGTGAATTCAGACACTCTACTACACAGTAGTTACAAACCTATAACTATTTTCAAATCTCTCTCTCTCTCTCTCTTTCTTTCTCTCTCCCTCCTCTCTCTCCCTCTTTCTTCTTCTTCTTTTAGGTAGTGGAAATACGGTTGCTATTGACTTGATCGTTCAGCATGTGCACAGCCAGCTGGAAGAGGTGAGACCTGACAGATGTTCAGGGAAGTCCCTGCATTGGGGGGTGTTATGTTTTCTTCTTTTTCATGAACCTCTGGTGACACAGTGGTTAGAATGTGGTATTTCAGGCTAATTCTGCCGACTGCCAGCAGTTGACTCAGCCTTCCATCCCTCCGAGGTGGGTCAAATGAGGACCCCAAATTGTTGAGGGAAACAGGCTGACTCTGTAAACCGCTTAGAGAGGGCTGTAAAAGCACCCCGAAGCGGTATATATAAGTCTGAGTGCTTTTGCTGTTGTGTTGGCCACCTTGCTGCAAAGTTCAGGATCGCGTCCAACTTCGTTATTCTGTTTTTCCTGTCTCGCTTAACCACACAGGTTTTGGGCTCGGTTGTGGTCATAAGTTGAGGATTACTTCTATCCAAGTTTTTAAGGGAGTAAAATTGCCCCTAAAACTGTTAAAACGTTACCTTAACAGTTCCTAGGTCCTTGGTTAGGACTTGAGCTGTTGAGCTGCCAACCAGCCCAGTGGTGGGATTCAAATAATTTAACAACCGGTTCTCTGCCCTAATGACCAGATAGGTAGGCGGGGCTCAGTGGTCATGTGACTGGGTGGGCGTGGCCAACTCAATGTCACTCAGATCGATGGGCGCTTTGTCTTAGCTGTGACAATGTAATAAAGGTTAACTGGAGAGGCAGTTTCTGTAAGCAGGGCAACAAAGATGAGGCTAGAAACAACACCAGAATGTTTCCTTCCTGCCTTCCTTACAGGATTAGCCCTGCAAAGTGTTAAANAATCTTGCCAAACTAAAGCATGCTAACATCCCCATAAAGTATGTACTCTGGGAGCCATTAGGGAGGCGCCGTTTTCACCTTCTTTCTCTCACACAAACTATCTGGACCGAATTGTTTCTTGCTCCTCTGGAAAGCAGCCCCTCCCTCCCGGGAATCCAGGCTGCATTCCATCACAGCTAGTGATCCAGCTGAATAAAAACAACTTTAAACCTTTCGGCTAATGTCTCAACAAATCACATTCAACCCCTCTTGTGCTTTTTTTCCCTTTTCTCACAACCAAGCTAGGTTTACCTATGATGTTATACAGGCGGGGGGGGGGGGGGTTCTTAAAAAACCGCCCAATCAAAGAAACAAATAACATGTTTTAATGGAACGCTGACGGTCTCCGTGCACAATTCTTGCTTCCAGAAAATGCTTTACGGAGCCAACGTGATTATATTCGAAGGGATTATGGCCTTCGCCGATAAGGACCTCCTGAAGGTTAGTCTGGGTTTTCAGCCTTTTTTGGGGGGGTGATGATGGGGGGGGTTTATTATTGGTGGCCCCCAGACCCACCTCCAGACCACGTCTCCTTTCCGCAGCCCTTGGAGGCCCCCTAAAATCCCCTGGGGGAAGGGGGGCAGAAATTTCCTGCCACTCGGGGGTCAGCCTTAGTTGAAAATCAATTATGAACCACCACCCCTAAAGGGACATTTGAGTTTGAGTGGGGGTTGGTTTCCCGTTCTTTCTTGACCCTAATTAGGGGGTTGGGGGGGGGGGCATTGTATTTTGTAACTTATCTTTTACCTGCCCATTGTTGGTTACGATTGGTTCAAGATAGAAGGCTTGAAAATAAATCAATTTTGAAAATCAGTTTTAAAAAATGAAGATTTCCTTCCTCTTCCCTTCCTTCTCCTTCCCTTTCCCTTTCCTTTTTCCCTCCCTCCCTCCTTTCTTTCTTTCTCTTTTTCTTTCTTTCTCTCTCTCTTTCTCCACTTCCTTCCTTCTTTCTTTGTTTCTTTCTTTCTTTCTCCCTCTCTTTCTTTATTTTTCTTTCTCTCTCTCTCTGTNAGAGAGAGAGAGAGAGAGAGAAATTGGGCTCCCCTAATCTACTTGAATGTTAATATACATTCCTAGTCCATTTATGACATGCCATAGGTGAAATAATAATAGGGACTCGTTGAAGTTACAACGGCGCTGAAAAAAGTGAATTATCACCATGTTTCACACTTAATGGCCATTGCAGCATCCCCGTGGTCACGGGATCAAAACTCAGGCACTTGGCAACCAGCATGTACTTATGACTGCCGCATTGCCCTGGGGTCATGGTATCCCCTCTTGTGACCGTCCCAGCTGGTTTCTGACAAGCAAAGTCAATGGGCTGGGGAAACAAGATTCACTTAATGACCACATGATTCGCTTAACAACCGCAGCGATTTGCTTAACTGTAGCAAAAAGGCGCAAAATGAGGCACAGCTCACCAAGCTGCCTCACTTAGCAGTGGAAGTTTTGGACTCGATTGTGGTCGTAAGTCGAGGAGTATCTGTATTTGATTTTTGTCTGTGTAACCGATGCTTCTGAAGGTTTGGCTGTCTTCATAAAGTTCCTTAGGATAGAAAATTCTTATTGGAAGCATCTTCTCCTGTCAGTCACAGATATTTTTGGATGGGAAGCTCGGTGGTGGAACTCCCAAAAGTACTTTCTTCAAAAGGCAACTTGCCTTCCTTTGTTTTTTCCTTGAAGACGTTTTGCTTCTCATTCAAGAAACTTCTTCCGTTCTGTTCTTCAGTTTCGTTCTTCAGAACAGAAGAAGCTTCTTGGATGAGAAGCAAAACGTCTTCAAGGAAAACCAGACAAAGTACCGTATTTTTCGAAGTATAAGATGCTCCGAAGTATAAGACGCGCCTAGCTTTTGGGGAGGAAAACAAGCAATTTGCCTCCTTGCAGCAAATAGCAAACAGCCTGTTTCAGTTTCAATTTCAGCACAGCCTGATTAGCACAAGCAGCTGATTGTCTGTTGGATCAGCCTCCCGACGATCAGCTAATTCATTACGGGCAGCGGGGATCGGAATGGGTGGGAAATGGGGCGCACCGAAAAATGAGGCGTGTGAAGGTGGCAATAGGCAATGGCAACTCCTGCAGCCTGAAACAGCTGATGGTCAGGAGGCGCATCCAATCGACAATCAGCTGCTTGTGCTAATCAACCTGTGCTGAAGCTGAAACTGAAACAGGCTGTTTGCTGTTTGCTGCAAGGAGGCAAATTGCTGGGAGGCAGAGGCCAAAGGGTCGGGTGGATGGGACTACATTCGGTGTATAAGACGCACCCAAATTTTCACCCTCTTTTAGGGGAGAAGAAAGTGCGTCTTATACTCCGAAAAATATGTTGTTTTTTGTAAAAGCGCCTTTGGGACAACCATGACCTGGATGACTGAGAAATCTCCGCAGACATTTGGTGGTGGAACGCTTCCTTCCATCTCCTGCCTAGCTTTCGCGCCAGGAATTTGAACCCTGAACATCTCAGCAGGACTTCGACGATGAAGGTGGTGCCTTTGATGGAACCTTCGCATCTCTACCTGTGTTTCTACCTGCCTCGGAAGCCAATCCTTGTAGTTGATTGGAGTGTTCTCATTTGACTTCTTTTTCTTTTGATTTCTCTCTCTCTCTCTCCCCCCCCCTCCCCCCCTAAACCTCAATTCTCTGGGATGGGGACTGCTCTGTCCATTTTCCTACCTGGTTTCGTCCCAAATGTCTCAACCCACCTGACGAACAGAGGAAGCTACGCTGGGATATGTGAGGAACCCAATTGGCATCCTGGTTTGATCTGAGTACTAAATTGTGTGAGCTTCTTCTGCTGGTGCTCTCAAGATGCATGGGAAGAGCCCCATAGCGTGGGTCAGCTTGTCCTTCCTCTAACCCAGCTGGTGTGGTTTTAGGGTTGGCTTTTCTAGCAAACACAGGGTTGTGGGCATGGGTGGGATTCAGCCGCTTTGGGCGAAATGGATGTTAATTTTACATCCAGTTTGCCGAACCGGTAGTTCCAAGGACTGGCTGGCCACCCCCACCCCTCCCAGGAGTCTCTGTGCGGCCTGTTCATCATGCTAGGTAAGTGCAGGTCTCGCGCAGAGACTCTGGGAGGGCGATAAAACGGGCCTCCTGGAAGTCTGGGGGAGGCCATTTTCGCTCTCCCGCAGGCTTGAGGAAAACTTCCAGAGCCTGGGGAGGGCGAAAATGCCCTCTCCCCACCGTGGTGCAGGATGCCGAGCAGGCCACGCCCACCATGATCACATCCAGTACAGAACAGTGTTTTTCTCATGCTTGGCAACTTTTAAAACTCCCAGAGTTTTATTCCCATTCTCGACTCCCAGAATTCCCCCAGCCAGCCATGGGGGAATTTTTAAACCCGTGATGCCAAATGGACCGAAACGCAGATCTGGTTTCCTCTGCTTACACGCTGACGCTTTCAGAGAATTTTACAAGCTTATTTGGACTCCTGATTAATCCACGTGGTTGGGATCGCTCTCTGTCTGTCTGTCTGTCTGTTTGTTGCTTCAAAACCAGTCTGGCTTTTGAACGGCATCTGCTTTCGTTTGCGTGGGCGTTGTTAAAAACACAGCATCCTCTTTTCTCGCAAAACTCTGGGATTGAGGGCGCAAAAAGAATCCATGATGTCCTTGGGCCCAGCCCAACCAACCACACGGAATTGGCATGGGGGCTGACCCATTTCATCCTCCTGTCTCAGTTCCCCAGTAACGTTCTTTGAGACAGGATAGGGTGGCAGCCCCCAGATACGGGGAGGATCTGAATGAGGCACTTCTAGAATTAATTCTTTCGAGTTTTTCAAACTTCTGGCCCATCCTCTCCTCTGTTGCTCCTGTGGGTTCCCTTCCCTGTAGGATTATTGGCCGTCTGAATTCTTGGATGGTCTGGATTTCACCGTCGTTGCTCATGAAAACGTTTTTCCACCTTGTGCCCTCGGAATGGCCATCTTCTGGAGAGCTGGATCTTGCTTTTTTTCTCCAAAAAATTTGGGGTCGTTGGTGCTCTCTAAGTTTGGTGGTTTTCTTCCAGATGTTTCATGACCCAATTACGTGACAATACTGAGTTTGGTAGTGAAATGTCTGCAAGAAAACCACCAAGCTCAGAGAGCATTAAGGACCCCACAGTCGTTGTGCTTCTCCTCCTCCTCCACCTCCTCCACCTCCACCTCCATCTCCACCTCCTCTTTGCAAACCCACTTCCTTCTAGCACTGATTATATTACCTAGTTGGGTCATGAAATGTTGCAAGGAAATTACCAAGCTTAGGAGAGCATCAAGAACCTCACCATCCTTCTCCTTCTCCCCCTCCTCTCCATACACCTCACCCTTTCTAGCACTGAGGACATTCCCTAGTTGACTCATGAAACATCTACAAGACAACAACCAGTCTTGGAGAACACCAAAAACTCTACAGTTGTCCTCTTCTTCGTTCTCCTCCCCGCACCCTGCACTCCATTCTAGCACTGATGACGTTACCTCATTGGAACATCTGCAAGAAAATCACCAAGATCAGAGAGCATCGAAGATCCCACGGTCCTCCCCTTCCTCATCCCTTTCTCCCCCACTCCTTCCTGTCACTGATGAAGTTACCTAGTTGGGTGATGAAACGTCTCCAAGAAAGCCACCAAGCTCATAGAGCACCAAGGACCCATCGTTTTAACCCTGAGCTACAGACATTCTTCTCAAAATGTACGGCATGGGACAATGTTGAAATGCCTCATGCCATCTAATAACCTGGGTAGCGTTATGAGACCTAACCATTGCTTAGCTCAAAATGGGGGCTGGGGTACCTCCACTTCCTTTGGATGGTCCAGAAAACATGGCCGGAAGTCTGTGTGGTTAGTTGGACGGGGAAAAGGAGACCTCGGGGAGACCCTGTCTTCAAGTTGACCTGTGCTTCTCCTTCATTTGCAGGGCAGCGCTGGCTTCTGCTCACCAGTGCCACCCGCTCCCCAAGACCCTCAGTGTCCTCAAGAACACACCGCAGGTCAGGGGGATGCATACCATCATCCGGTAAGTGTTCATCCCCTTGAGTTGGGGCGAATGTCCACCCTCTCCATATTTGTTGTGGGCGGCCAGCGGAGCTGGTGGGAGACTCGGACAGTGAGGAGGTTGTGGAGGAACATGGGCCAGTCCTGGAGTCTGAGGAAGGCTCTGACGAGGGCTCTGCGTTGGAGGCAGAGCAGGTTCTGACAGGTTCTGGAGAACCGGTAGTGGAAATTTTCAGTAGTTCGGAGAACCGGTAGCGGAAATTTTGAGTAGTTCAGAGAACCGGTAGTGGAAATTTTGAGTAGTTCAGAGAACCGGTAGTGGAAATTTTGAGTGGTTCGGTGAACCGGTAGCAGAAATTTTGTTTAGTTCGGAGAAACGGTAACAGAAATTTTGAGTAGTTCGGAGAACTGGTAGCGGAAATTTTGAGTAGTTCAGAGAACCGGTAGTGGAAATTTTGAGTGGTTCGGTGAACCGGTAGCAGAAATTTTGTTTAGTTCGGAGAAACGGTAACAGAAATTTTGAGTAGTTCGGAGAACTGGTAGCGGAAATTTTGAGTAGTTCAGAGAACCGGTAGTGGAAA